CCCATCTGGCATCCAGGGTGAGGGTGGATAGGTCTTGAAACAGGGAAACTTGGGCATCCATGTAGGTGTTAGTTTGTTGAGGCCGGGCTCTTATGATTGCTTCCTTCAGGGTAAAAGACAGCAGGCATCATATTACATACTGTGGTGGGCCCTCTCTTCTGGGGGGCCTGAGTTCTCTGTGTGCCGGCTCTATGCCAAAGTCCGCCAGGGCTTACTCCCAAGTATGTAGGCAAACAGGCCTGACAGGAGCTCCGGTAGTGCCTCCTCTGCTGATTCAGGAAGGCCTCTGATGCAGATGTTGTTCTGCCTACCAGGTCTTCCACCTGTCTGCGGAGATCGAGTAGGACATTGCCCTGCCTAGTGGTGACTGTGTCAGTAGCTTGATGGTGTTGTAGTGTATGGGCCCTGTCAGCCTCTAGTTCTTCCACCCTGTGCTCAAGTGCCGTGAGTTCTCTCAGCACCTCCATTATTTCCTCACATATTGCCGTTCTTATCTAGGCCAGCATCTCTGCCTTGTCTGACCGGGAAAACATGTTGGCAGAAGTAGCAGCCAGTACCACTGATATTTGGGTAAGGGTCTCTCCCCTGTGTGAGCCTTGTGTGGAGCTAGCAATGCTTGCCACGCCTGGTAAGGCCGAAGCCATCTTGTCTAGTGCACGGGCGCTTCACATGTCTTGGGGGGTGGAGAGGAATTAGTCCATGGGGCACGAGGTGCATCCCGGGGAGCCAGCCTGGGAAGGTCTTGGGGTGAGCACTCATCTGGATTTCCCCTTTTGGTCTAGGTTTGTGCTCTTATCTTGTGCTTGTGTGAGCTGGGGCCTCGGAAATGCAGGGAGATGTGTCTTACTCCTTTGCCGGTCAGGCCACGCCCCAAATTATTTTATGTTGTTATCCACAATATAAACAGCTTTTTTAAACAGATTCAAGTACAAGCACTTATAGCAGGACCTTTACAGATTCCGTTTACAACAGGCAGGTTTGGTATTTGTAATACTTGTTAATGCCCCTAACACTCCCTATGCTCTTTTTGCTGCTAAACTTCATATTGTTTTCAAAGCCTCATGAGCTCCTGCAGTTTAAAATAAAATGGTAATTTTTTTTTTTCAATAGTACTGTAAATTAAAATATATGTAGTATAGTTTCA